ATGAGGCCTGGGTTCCCCCACCAGAGACAGGGAGATGCTCTTGCTGAACAAAGGAACAAAGCCGTGCATGGGGCGGAGGGCTGCTTGGGAACCGAAGGGCTAGCGCGGGGAGGGGGCTGTGCGTGGGCTGTCAGGCCCCAACAGCAGGAACAGCGTTATCCGTCTTTGGGGGATCTCCAATCGGCAAAGCCGCTCCTGGGCTACGGAAGGACTGAAACGTGATCAATGTAGGCCCAACCAACACAATGATTAGGAAAAAAACGTCTCAGTTCAAACGCTTGTGACACTCTGCCTTGGTGGAAGCTAGGAGGAGAGTTAGGTCTTTCTGTGTCCAGCAGAGGACATCTATTATCCATTCAACTGAGTTTTCTTACTGGGTAAATCTGCGGGCAGCTTACTTATTTGGAGGAGAAAGAAAACATACATTCCCACTCTGCCATTTTGTTGGCACTGTAATTCTATTGCTCTGCCACTAGAGGCCAGTGGTGTGCTGGCACACTCCGGCATGCAATGCCCAGCCAGGCAATTGTCATTGGCATCTCATCAACTAAAGCACTGTTTCTCAAGCTTGGCTACTTGGAGAAGGAGAAGGAGAAGGAGAAGAAGAGACAATGATCATGATGACTGAGGAGGAGGAGTAGGGATGATGATGACGATGATGGAGGAGAAGGAGAAGGAGAAGGAGAAGGAGAAGGAGAAGGAGAAGGAGAAGGAGAAGGAGAAGGAGAAGGAGAAGGAGAAGGAGAAGGAGAAGGAGAAGGAGAAGGAGAGGCACCGGCAGCAACAGCAGCAGCAGCATCTCAGAAATGGGTTTTTAGTTTGGGGCTGTCTTTTTTTATTAGGTTTTAATTGTCCTCTTTCTAGTTTATTATTTTCTATTTATGAGCTTCCTGGTGTGAGTCATCTGGAGGGCCTGGCTTGAATGGAAAGGTGGGATATAAATCAAATAAACAAATAGGTCAAAGCTTGACTATTTCAGGGTTCCTTTCTTGTTATGGACCTAAGAATCGCCCCCCTCCATTTGTCAAGCAGCAGGAGACGCTGCTCCTAAGCAGTGGAACACACACGCCCGAGATCTGCACATGAGCTCTATTCACACTGCTTTTCAAACATCCATTCGTTCATCCATTCATTTTATGGGGCTACAGGCCGCTCCAGTCAGAACCGCCTTCGCAGCTCAGATTAAAACAGAAAAACCCAGATCCCTGTATCTCCATTAAACTGCATGCACCACCATAACGTTGCACAGACCACCATTAACCCAGCCAGATGTCAAGCATCTTCTGTTGGCAGAAGGACTGATCCCCCCACTCTGTTCCCAGGCCCTTCTGGAACAGACTGCCTAAACATCAAAAAGGAAGAAGCCCATTTGGACAGCTGAGGGAATGCTTTTCTAAAGGGGGGGCAGCAATAGAAATAGCACACTTCCGCAGCCCCTGCAGATGGTAATCCCTGGGCCCCGCTTGATCTCATTGGGTGGGCAGATGTTAGCGGGGGAAAGCAGTCCTGCGAGACACCCAGGCCTTGACTCATAAAGGGCTTTAAAGGTGACAACCAACACCCTGAATTGCATCTGGAACCAGTCCAGCTCTCAAAACTCTGAAAAGCATCTGTAAATATTTGAGCCGTTGCATTCTGGATACTCTTCAAGGGCAGCCCCAGGGAGAGCACACTGCAGTAGTCCAATCAAGCAGGGAGTAAGGCCTGAGTGACCACAATATGAGCTCGAGGAAGAAACACCTTCTCAACTAGGCCGCCGAAACTATTTTTAAGAAAACCTCTACATTTGGGCTGCCTTTCCCATTACATTTGAACTGCCCGGTTCCGAGTTCATAATTTTATACTGTGCATTTGTGTGTTTCTAAGTTATCGGGTCATTCTGCTTGGCGAAAAGGGCATATATGAATCACCCTTTTTTTTTTCATAAAAAACAACAACAGTCTAATCTCAAGAAACTTTAAATCAGAGTCAAAATAATCCCACAGCCACTTGTGGCTAACAGATGGCTTTCCTGGCAGACAATGCCAAAACCAATTTAGAAATAAAACTGGGACTCTTACAGCAAATGAGTTTTTTAGTCAACCCTTTTTCATAAACTCAGGAATTCACTGGTCACTAGGTGGAGCTGCAAGAACTCAACTTGACTCTAGTCAACAAACTTTGCTTTCAAGTCAGGGCTTAAAGAAAACCCGTGAGGATTTTCGGTTTGAGGTGGCTGCAAAAACACGGGTCTGCTTCCACAACACCAAACTATCCAGGCTAGCAAACTCTTTTAACTCAGTTATCTGTCTCCAATTGTAATGATACATGGGAACGACCTTGGGAGACAGGAGGAAGAGCCAGACTAGACAACTGTCATGCAAAAGATATCTCAGCCCACAGAAGGAGAGAGGATGTGGGAAGCGTCTCAGAAGGGACCCTCCCTAGTTTTCTGGAAAGTAAAAATGAGAGATGGGAGGAATACTTTCAGATTTGCAAGATTCTGTTAATGTAACCTTACAACGAAGACGGAGCTAGTATTCACCGTTGTTTCTTGTCTGGACTGCCTGGGAGGGCTAACACCAGCAGCAAGAAACACTGGCCATCCAAGAGGGCAGAATTTTGAACTTTCAATCTCCACTACTGTGCAACAACAATCCATTAAAAAAAAATCCATCTAGTCTAGATGGAGGTTACACTTAGGGCTACAAGTCTTCTAATGGGCATACTTCATGAGTTAACTCCATCATACCTTGTTCCTGCCCCAAATGGGCAGAAAAACAAAGAAATGATTGAGTCCTTGACCAGGTAAGTAAACCCCACTTAGCAACCTACCCATTCATTGCCCAGATTAAAGATCTGGCATTCCACAAAGATGATAAATAGAACATCTATAAGGAGATAATAAAACTTTCCATTATTTGTGATTTTTCTTTTTTCTTTTGGTTATTTGCTTTGAGGTTAATTACAGCTGGTTGCAAACATGATTAAACGGAATGGAATATTCAAAAGGATAACTGAAATTCAGAAAGCACTTAAGGACAGGCGGAATGGGGTACAGGAAAAGGGAAGATGGGGAAAGGGTTATAGGTAGATGGTACTCTTCCACAAAGGTATCTGCATTGCAAAAGGAGTAGAAGCAAGGAAAAATTCCAGTCTCACCTCTGTGATGAAGCGGATACATTCGAGGAACATGTAGTCCTTATGGTGCTCGTTCACCACCTTCTCATCAACAAAATGCCGAGGCTCCAGGTTTGGGTGATCTAAAAAGAGGATCTTTTCAGAGTGGTTAAACCCCAAGGCCTATTTACTGCCCAGCACAGCATGGGGTTCAGCTGCCAGACCTCTCTCCAAGACGTGGCAATGAACCTCGGCTCTCTAAAGCTTACCCCAAAAGCAAAAACTTTAAATTCTAAACACGGTCTGATAAGTTGCTTTACTGCAGAGACAGAATGTCTTTTATGCAGAAGACCTGACTATTGCAGAACGCAGAAATCAAATCCCATTGATATGGTAGCCCCAGGGTTTAAATTCTTAAGCCTTTTGTCCCGCCCTTTCGAGTCCACAGACTTTGGGGCATTCCTTTCCCAACTGTTTCCCAACTTTTCAGGTTTACGTAATGGTTTATGCCCCTTGTTCACTCAACCAGGCTGGGATTCCCTATTAACCTGAACTCTTCACTCTACTGTTCAACAGGGGAACTAAGCAAGGCTCAATCATAATTCAACAGGTAAAGTCAACTCTTAATCACAGAAAGACTGGGAAGGGCAAATGGTGCAGGTTGGTTTGGGGATCTCGGAACCCACATCACCTCTGGCCACAATTAGACAAATTCAGATGAGATTCGCCATGGGAGACTGACTGGGAAAAGCTACGGCCCCAAATCTTCCTTGTATATTTCTCAGAAAAGTTTGGCTAAACGTTGTGCAAAGCGGACTATATAACAAGAGCCGCAGTTGACTAAAATTTGAGCACTAGAGCATGCTGGCTGGGGTTGTTTCCTCTGATTAACAATGGTTTTGCAGAGTGTGGTCCCTTCTCCGGGAGACACCAGGAACCAGATATTATAACTCTCAACTTCAGGCCTTGCAATTTTCCTACACTCTTAGCCCATGGAAGGCAACTTGTATGACATTTGTATATCAGCTCCAGGAAAGCGGTTACAACTCAGATAACCAGCAGGTGGTGACCCCCACCTGCCCCACAGAGACCCAATGGCGACTCCACGATTTTGGTTAATCAGGTGAGCTAGTTAACAGGCTTCAGTCACAAAGTGGGATCCAAATCCACTGGCCATAAATTAGGACTGATCAGAGTTTTGGATTCAACCGGTGTTTCGAAGCCTGCAACTCTCTGCAGTAAATACATCTTTTCCAGCAGCTGCGATCCCAGGAAGAGACATAGCCGCTTTAAGGAGACGCAGATGGCTGCTCTGGGCACGTCAGCGCTCCGCAGTACTTCTTTGCCCTTTGAATCCAAATAATTCTTCTGCTAGAAATAAGCAGAGACGTGAATAAATGTGATGTGCTACTGCAAAGGACTTTCGCCAGCTGGTAGCTCTTTTAACACAAGCAGCCCTGCCTTTGTGCCATCCTGTACGATTGGGGCAGGCTGGGGGGATGGGAATTGTAGCCCAACACAGCCTAGGGAGGCCTTAGGCTCTCAAGCACATGAACCAGTATTATCTATGGCAGTTCCCTGCACGGAACATCCTCAGGGGGGACTTGTGCTTTTTCTCCACCACTCAACCTTGCAAGCCGGCCTGAAAGATTCTTCTTTTTAAAGCTTCATTTTTAGCCATCTGGAAGCAGACCATAGGTTCCAGGGAAGAACTGGCCCAAGTTAGCTTCTTCCATTTCCTGTAAGTTAGCACGTTGCACAGATGAAGTACATTACAACACTATGTTACGGCAGTGCTAGGCATGTCCCTGACAAGCTCAAAGCTTAATAAGGATAGGATATGTTCCTTGACATATATAGTGTGACCCTAATACCTCACTAGAGAGCCAGTTTGGTGTAGTGGCGAAGGCACCAGGCTAGAGCCTTGGGGACCAGGAGTTCTAGTCCCACCTTAGGTACAAAGCCAACTGGGAGACCTTGGGCCAGTCACTCTCTCTCAGCCCCAGGAGGAGGCAATGGCAAACCACTTCTGAAATCTTGCCAAGAAAACTGCAGGGCCTAGTCCAGGCAGTCGCCAGGAGTCAATAGCGACTCGAAGGCACCAAAAATAAAATAAAATAAAATAAACCTCACTACCACGGCCTTTCCCCTTGCTTATAGGTCGGCTTACAGGTGGACTCGTAATTGATTTCTGCCCCAGAACTGCTTACATACAATGGTCTTGAATCCCACTCCTGTAATGTCCGTGCCCGTGGAAGGACAGAATGCCAAATGGCCTTGATCACCCCTTGAAAAGAAATAAAGATAATTCCTCCTATGGCGACATACAGCACCTTTGTAGCAAGATATATTTGTGTTCTTGTATATTTGTAGCAGATATAAAGCCTTTAGCAAAACAATGGTTGGAGGGCTTTTGAAGACGGGATTGAAGGGTAAATGAGGACAAGCCCCTAAGTGAAGGATGCCAGTCGTTTCGGCTTGTCTAGCTGAGCTTGGAGAATGGGGCTTTTCATTTAGAGATCTCCTAAATAAGGTTTGGTCTCTGGGAGCTCCAGGAAAAAGTTCTGCCTAAGGGTCTCTGGACAGCCGCGGCTCAACCGTTCTGGGCTCTTTGGCTAGGGAAAAAAGAGAGAGAGAGAGGAAGAGAGTCTGCCTGGTTACCAATCAGTTGGGAGCTGCCCCAGATGAAGGGGAGAAACTGAAAGTCATCCAAGCCCCAGACCCCTTGGCTGCCAGCTGGCTCCATTCGATAGGTTTTTTGGAGTTTTCGCATGACTTCCAAGTACCTGAAACCAAATCAAATTGGACATGCCATGAGTGGACAGCAGATAACCATTTTATTGTTCCAGTACTTGACTTACAACCACAATTGGGACTGGAACTTCTGTCACTAAGCGATGCAGTCATTAAGTGAGTCGCACCTGATTTTATGACTTTTGCCATGGATATTAAGCAAATCTGGCTTCCCCCATTGACTTTGCTTGTTGGAAGCCCCCTGGGAAGGTTGTAAATGGCAATCACATGACCCCAGGATGCTGCAACTCTTGTAAATACATGCTGGTTGCCAAGTGCCCAAATTTTGATCCTGTGACCACAGGGACGCTGCAATGGTCTAAGTGTGAGGACCGGTCATGCATCATTTTTTTCAGCACTACTGTAACTTCAAACAGTCGCTAAATGAATGGTCGTAAGTCGAGGACTACCTGCATGTTTGACCGGGAAGAATGATGGAGTGATTGGAAGAGGGAGGATCTGGTGAGGACTTTGGATCTTAGTCAAAGTCACCACATGGGCCAAGCCCAGAAAATCACTCTTCAGAAGTGGCCTGGTCCCCTCATCGCTTCCTCAGGAAGCAGATCTCCTGACTTTCCCCTTTGACAAGGGTCCAAGGGGGAGTGAGGGGAAATAAAATAGCATCTGCTCCCAGGGAAATTGCTCTAAAGCAGTGTTTCTCAACCTTGACAACTTTAAGATGTGTGGTTGAAGTCTACACATCTCAAAGCTGCCAAGGTTGAGAAACACTGCTCTAAAGACTCAGATGGGGGATATCTGGCCAAACCAGGCCTTGGACAGTTCAGGTCCAATCTCTGCACAATCGCTTGGTGCATGATGTGTACTGTACAGGAAGCAGAGATGACAGTGCAATGCACTTGTAGACACAGGTGCAACATCTAAACCTTTTATTCCTTAGAAATGGGATGGGGAAACCCTCATTTGGGATGTTATCCAGATTGGATGCATCCAATCAACAAAAACCTATACAACCAACTGGCAATGGGTTATTCAGTTGGGCGGCCAGCTTATGCAGGGAGTATATTCGAGCGACTTTGGAAGAACTGCAGAATCGGACACCTAAGGGCAGCCAGCGACTTTCCAAGCCTTGGGGGGACCCTCCAAACAGGGTCTGTAAAGAGGAAACTATTAGAAACATGGAGCACAAGGACACCCGTTGCCTTCAATGAACTGAACCGCCATTTCGTTTAAAAGGAAGCCCATTTTGTCTTTAGCGCTAGCCACCTCTTCGTCCTGCTGGAACACAGGCCCTGCCTCTCTGGGGCAGAGAGCCCATGCTACACAGTACAGAAAAGCAGGCTGTCCTTGTTCTCACATCACAGATGTGGCAACCAAGGTTGGGGGAGAAAGGCTCATTCCAAACTTCCTGTGGATTCAGGCACACGCAAATGCTGCACCAAAGCCTTCTACAACTGCCCTCCTTTTGCAAAGCCTGGCTCTCCCTTGGCCCCTCCACTTCACCTGTTGAATACTTTGAAGACAATGGCCAACTGGTCATCCACCCGAAGGACACCGATTTTGCAGAGGCAGCAAAGGAAGGCAGCAAATGCCGCTTCGTGGCCTGCGGGGAGAAAGGAGAAGCTTGTGATAGAGAATGTCTGGGCTTAAGGTATGGCCCTCCAGAGGCTGCAAAACTACATCTCCCAGCAGCCCTCACTCTTGGGCACACTAGCCCAGGCTGCTGACAACTCAGCAATGCCAGGAGAGCCACAGGTTCGGCTAGAACTCTTTCAAAACTCATAGCTCTTTATGCAGAACTTCTTACAAAGAAGGTCCTTTGCACATTTCAGCTTTTCCCCAGAGATTCTCTCCTCTGTCTGCATGAAGCTGACCACCTTTGACCAAGGGGATTCATACAAGTGTGGGATTCGAAGTGGGAAGGTGAAAGCAAAGCTTTGGGGAGTCACAAGGAAGGAAGCTGCAAGATTATACTGTACAGGTAGTCCTCAACTTACAACCACAATAGGGATTGGAAAATTCGCCGTTAAGCAGTGTGGTCGTTAAGTGAGGCATCACGTGACCACAGCTGATTTTTCGACATTAAGCAAATCATGCGGTTCCCCGTTTATTTTTCTTGTCAGAAGCTGGCTGGGAAGGTCCCAAACAGCTATCACATAACCTTGGATGCTACAACTGTTGTAAATACATGCCAGTTGCCAAGCGCCCAAATTTTGATCCTGCGACCATGGGGATGCTGCAATGGTTCTAAGTACAGGGATGTTCGTAAATCACTTTCTCAGCACTGTCATCACTTTGAATGGTCGCTAAATGAATGGTCGTAAGTCGAGGATTACCTGTACCTTCCTCGCTCCCATCACAGGTAGGATAGGTCTAACATCAACTGGATTGCTCCCACTGGCTACTGGGTGTGCTGTTCCCATCAAGAAAGCCCCCATTGTTTGGCCTGAGCCCGCCCTGCTATTTTTTTTTCAAATTAAACAATATTCACCCTCCTCCTCCCCGTAGTGACGCAGAAAGGAGGTAGGACATGCATTCAAGACTCATTCCAGAGATACAAGGGGCTTCTGCCTGTGTGCAAATGCACGGGGATAATTTAGGTCTGGGAGCCTCAGAACCCAACTGTAACATTTCCAGAAAACTCAAAAAGAGGCTTCACACAACCCAGGTAAACCTCAATTTAGCTCTCCCCACCATGATGTCCCTCCAGGCACACAAGATTCGTGGGTCAGGCTGGCTGGCGACAATGGAGGCTGTAGTCTAGCATGCTTGTACATTCAGGAAACCACTCTGGGCAAGAGCTACGGAAAAGGTCAGAGCAGAGGAAAAAGTGGGGTGGGTGCGTGTGTGTGAATACACCGTGGGTCCTGTTCCCTCCCAGCTTAATTTGGGTTCAGTTCTGAAGTACAAGGAACAAAACAGGAACTGGGGCTGAAGGTAGCTGGGATGACAGTGCCCCCTGGTGGCCAACTGTGGATTTACAGCGGGTTCTCCGGCCGCCTTGCACTCTTGAATTTTCCATGCATTTTTTTTGGCGAACATTCTTCTAGCTTTAGAGCTGGTGCTACCATAAAACGTCCTGGTTCAGGTTTGGGCCAGAAGCAGGCAAACCGCCATGCGGTGCCGGTTGCAATCAGGGGCTTGCCTTCCAACCCGTAAGGCAGAAACTTCCCCTCCTCTTAAATCATCATGATCATCATCTAGATTTGTTACAGCGGCCCCACTCCAACTATTATCTGGCAGATTAGCATTGCTTCAGCACTTTTTCGGACTTTTCAAATGTAATTCTGCTTCCTCGAGCTCCTGGCAGCAGATCGCTAGGAAACACAGAAGCCAGTCTGGGGTGGCGGTGAAGATGCTGAACAAGAAACCGGGACTGTGAGTTCTAGTCCTCCTTTCGGCATGGAAGCCAGCCGGGCGACCTTGGGCCAGTCCCCCTCTCTCAACCCAACCCACCTCGCAGGGGTGGGAGAAAACAGGAGAAAGGAGCATTATGTACGCTGCCTTGAGTTGTACAAAATAAAGGTGGGATATACATCTAATCAATAAACAAAAGAAGAATAAAGTCTTCACAGAGGCCAACTGGATTTGAGAAGAGAGCTCCAACGCTCAGCTACCTTGGAATATCCCATCCTGGGGGACTATTCATTGTATATTGGCTACCTAGAGAACTCTACCTTGGACTAAATAGACCCTTGTGCTTAAAACTGGGGAGGGGGCATTCTGGGACTGCACGTGGCCTTCAAGCTCCCTCTGCACACCTCTTTGGAACATGGCCATCGGAAGCCGGTGGTGCAGTTCCCTGGAGTGGATATTTCACTTGGGCTGGGTTGTACTTTGGGGTGGGGATGGGGGGAAATGGTCCTCTTTGTTTTTGGGGGGCACTCAGCCTCTCCACAGCACCTAGGATCCGTAACAACTGTGATGGCTGGATTTGTGGAACACGCTCTGCTGGAATCCCAACCCCATGAGTTGGTATGATGCAGTGTTTTTCAAACTTGGGAACTTGAAGATGGGTGGACTTCAACTCCCAGAATTCCCCAGCCAGCCATGCTGGCTGGGGAATTCTGGGAGTTGAAGTCCACCCATCTTCAAGTTCCCAAGTTTGAAAAACACTGCATCATACCAACTCATGGGGTTGGGATTCCAGCAGAGCGTGTTCCACAAAATTCTGGGAGTTGAAGTCCACCCATCTTCAAGTTCCCAAGTTTGAAAATCACTGGCATAATGTTTGAACGTAGCCGTCTTTTCTCTCTTTTGGAGAGCAAATGCATAGATCTTGATTGAAAAGGAGAAAGAGAGGCTTGTGTAGCAACAGGAACGCATTCCTGATTTACAGCTGGAGGACTGGAGGCTGAGTGTTCGCAAGGAGGCGGATTAGACGTGCAGTCTGCGCTATTTCAGACTGTCGGTAGGACACAGAAGACCGAACGCTCCTGCGATCTTGGCAACTGGACTATCAGGGAGAACCGAGAAGGACAGCCTGGCAGGCTAGCTCTCAGCACGCAGGGAGTCAGCCCACCTTGGAAGCTTGCCTCCGCCATCAGAAGCAACCTGGCCCAGACCCAGCGGGAACCAGGCCGGTGGTCAGCAGCGCAAGAGAGCTACAGCGGCCACTTGGGCCACCCCCGAACCAATCAGGCCTTTGCTGCGGCTAAGAAGTGAATCACTACTGGTGCCAAAGAAGCCATCTGCCGTGCTGGTGGGCCGTCCTCCGTGTAGGGCCAGACACCCGCTCCCACCGTCCCCGGGGGGCTTTTCCAATAGATACCTGTCCCATAGTCGATGCGGGTAGAGTTGCCAACAGACTCTTTCAAGTACACAGCCACCTCGGGCACAGCTTCAGCTTGCTGCTTGAGGACCACGGCTGCCACCAAGGTCTCTGCCCCCTAAGATTTAGCCACAGTCAAACAGTTAGAGCGGGTGGGGATTCCTCCAGGCCCATCATCACAGCCCGCCGTCCAGGCCGAAGAATAAATCTACGAGCCAATCGTAACCCCTGCTGGGGAACTCCTTTTAATATTATTCACAGAACCACCCCCAAGCAAACTACTCTATAGGTAGTCCTCACTTAGCAACTACAATAGGGAACAGAATATTCGTTGTTAAGCAGAGCGGTTGTTAAGCAAGCTGCGCCTGATTTTATGACCTTTTTGCAATGGTCATTAAGCAAATCACCACGGCCATTAAGCAAATCACATGGTCATGAAGCGAAGCGCATGGTTCCCCATTGGTTTTGCTTGCTGGAAGCCAACTGGGAAGGTCACAAATGGTGATCACGTGACCCCAGGATGCTGCAACCATCATAAGTGCGAGCTGATAGCCAAGTGCCCGGATCACAATCACATGACCGCAGGGGTGCTGTGATGGTTGTAAGTGTGAGGACCAGTTGTAAATCCCTTTGTTCAGCACTGCTGTAACTTTGAATGGTCGCTAAACAAATGATTGTTAAATGAGGACTACCTGTACAGAGTTGTAGACTTCAGCCTCCAGCATTCCCCTGATGGCATTTGGCCATGGCTGAGAATTCTGGGAAATGGAGGCCACACACCTGGAGGATGCCGTCAAAACAGTTTACTATGCTAAGGGCATGGTTTTAAACAGCTCTTGCAAATTATCTCTCCTGGCTCAGCTTCTCCCAGCCCAGCACTCTCTGAGTATGCCGGACCACAGCTCCTAACAGCTGCCCTCGGCATGGCCCAACTTTGCCAGGGATCCTGGGAGTTCCTCTGATTTGCTGAGCCTTAAAACCTTTGGGAAACACCTTAAAAGACTTCTATGGCCATTTCAAAGAGGTGTTGCTCTTCCCTTTCTATTGTTTTCTTCTTCCTTTCTCATAAGGGAAAGTAAGCTGGCCACAAGACAGAAAATCCAGGGGGAAGGAAGGGGGGGGAGGGGAGGGATAACAAATAAACAATAAATAAATAACAATAAATCAGATTTAAGAAATGCCCTTGTTTGCACTCTATCCACTGAGCAGGGGGTTAGACTAAGTGGCCTCTAACATCCCTTTCAGCACTGTGAGTCTTTTCAGTCTAAACTGAGAGGCAAAGGAAGGTTTGCCTCTGACCCCTAGAGAAAAGCCCTCCCCCCAGCAGGAAGGCTCTATTTCCCCCACTCCCTCTGCCTACCTGGTCCACCTTTGCATACCACGTCCGGAAAGCTTTGTTCCCAAAGCGAGACGGCTGGTCCACCGGGGGGGTCTCATCGATCCACTGATCCAGCGTGTTGAGGAGTGTGACCAGATTTTCAATGGGCTGCCAAGAGAAGGGACAGCTGTTCTGTCATCCGGGGGTAGGCAAACCTTGAACAGACTTAACGCGGCCCACCCCCCAGAGGTGAGTTCCATTAAAGCCGAAATCCGGATCCACAAACCTCAGGACTGAGTTCCCCAAATGTGGGAAGCTGAAAGAAAGAACCCAGACTCTACCAGGCTTGGCCTCTGCAGAGAAAGGAAGGGGCTGACGCTCACCAGAGGCTGAATCACAACTACCCAACCATGTCAAGCAGCTTGTGTGAACCCGCCCAGACGTTGCCCTCAAGCCCACCCACCCAGCGGAGGGAGCAGACCTATCCCTGCTCCCAACAGGGGCTCAAGGCAGCTCCTGGGCCTCATTCCCCTGCTGATGTGTTGGGTTACATATCCCATCATCCCCTCCCGCCTGCTCGTTAACGATAATCCGTCTGCATCAGACCAGGATCTTTCAGCTTAATTCCAAGGGTGGTCAGCCGCAATCTCCTGGCCGCACATTGGTCTTGCGGTCTAGAGATCGATGGCTCCAGTGCAAAACATCTGGAGGGCACGGGCTTGGAGAAGATTAATTAGTGTCCCCAAGCAAGCATGTTTTACAGACCAGGGAGTTCCCGAGGAGGTAGCAAACTAGCAGATTGGCAAGGAGCCCACAGAAACAGGCATCTTGAGAAGCCTGGGGGACAAAGCTGTGTGTCCAGCCTGACCATGGGGAGAGATGCTGGCAGCAAGGTCTGGATGACCAGGTTCCCTTAACCCTGACGGATGCTGCTATGGCTCCTCTAAGAAACATATGGAGAATACTAATCCATAATCCACAACAATCAATAAGCAGGACTGCTTTCTGTACAGCCAATGTGCACTTTTTCCCCAATGCAGGATCCTGCTCCCTGCAAGGGCAGCCCATGTTTGCTTCTTCAGAGAATGCAACAGCAATGGGGCGAGAGAAGGAAAACCAGAGGGGGGCCAGGAGGAAACCAGAAGCAGCAACCAGCTGACGGACAGCCTCCTATTCACAAAATTGGGCAATCTGGAAGGGGGGGAAGGAAAACCCAGGGAACAGGATGAGGACTAAACATTGATCCACAGCCATGGGGATCCGTAGGGAAGAAAAATGAAATCCAAGGAAGATGTCTTGGAGGAGGGCATGGCGGGCAATTGCCTGGAACTAAAGTGTTCCTGTTTAGAAGATCAGGATAGAACAGTTCCCTTCTTCCTTCCTTCCTTCCTCCCTCCCTTTCCCGCCTTCCTTCTTTCTTCCCTTTTTCTTTCCCTCCCTCCCTCCCTCCCTCCCTTCCTTCCTCCCTTCTCTTTTCTTCCTTTCTCTCTTTTCTTCCCTTCCCTCCTTCTCTTTATATACTACACTCCTGGGTTCATTCAAGTTTGATCAATTAATTCACAGAAACCAACTTCTAAACCTTTTGCCTCCAAATGTGCAGTGGCTCTTGGAAATAATTTCTCAGGGGGCGGGAGGGAGAGAGAGAGAGGAGAGAACAGAGGGAGACAAAGATAGCCGCAGTTCCCTTGACTTTGCCCGCGGCGGTCTCGTCCGTGAGAAATCCTCCAGTCCCCTGGGCCAAAGTTCCACCATCGCTCACTCTGCCGTGCCAGATGGGAAAATGCAGAGCCCACCGGTTTTCCCGGCCCCCAAAGCGGGAGCCGGGTGGGAGGGAAGCCGGCAAGGTGGGTCGACGCGCTGGGGCTGCAGCCCAGCCAGAGCGGCTGCAAGCCACACGTGCCAGCGAAAGAGGGAAAAGGCAACTGAGCAGAGTGCCGCAGACCAGCAGGCCGTCCTGGATGGATTCACGCCTCGGGCTAAACCGGGATGGGATCTGCTTAATCCTGGCTTAGTAGAAGCGATGGGCCCAGCTGTTCTGATTCGCGGCACGGCTGGGCAACTCCCTTCAGTTGGAGGACTAGACCCAGCTTCCTGGGCACTTCCAAGGACCACACTCCACATACGGGTCAGAGGCTGGGAGTTTTAAAGGGCAAAAGGATGGTTTGGGCCCCTGGGAGCCTCAGGACACCCATCTTCCTCCTTCAACGCTGCCATCGATGGCGTCCAGACTCAGTTTCAATTCCCAGCCCCCCGTGTTAAACAATGCCCCAGAAGGAGCTTGCTGCAGGCTTCTTTCTGGATGTTTGTGGGCTCCCAGTCCAGTCCACAACCCGGGCTTTTGTAGTGGTCCCCCATCCAGTACTACCGAAGGGCTATCCTGCTCAGCCCTTGTCCAGATCAGCCGAGGCCAGCCAGGCGCCAGCTTCCTTCCCCCTTCCCGCTCTGCCTTGGAGAGCTAGGGGAGCCGGCGGGTGGCAGCCACACCGCCCTTGCCTTCACCTGGCACGCTTGGAAGAGGGTTTTGGAAAAGAGCAAAGATCTCGGCTGCAGGCAGACCGGGCAGCTGCCGAGGCAGGCCAAGCCAGTCTCAGCTGCTAATCCTACCACAACGATAAATAATTAAGGAGCGATCCCAGGGGTCTGGGGTGGGGAAGGCTTATGAAAGTCATACCCTTCCCATAGGCTAATGGCACTGAGGCAGCTACAGTGTCAGGCTTAGCCCAAAGAACTCCAAGAAATAATGCAAATTCAGTTCTGCTGTGTTTATTAGCTACACCCTCTAGAAAGAATCTCCCCAGACTGAACCCTAGCTCCCAAGCCAGCCAGTCACAACACCG